AAACGTGATACATCAGTCGTTCCCCCTACACAGATCTCGCATAATGTACAAGACGATCGAGCGCGCAGTCACATATTGCCACTTACGCAATAACGAAACGTCTCTTCCCGTTAGCTTCCGCACACGCACTCTAGTGCACAGCCGCGGCGCATACGCTATACATGGAAAACGACTTTGAGATCGAAAGTTCCTCTTTTGCGATGTATCGGAAGAATGCATATAGCACGATGTATGCATGCATCGCGCGAATAAAGTTGAGCAAGCGACGCACGCGGTGGCAGCAGTAGCAGCTTATAGTGAGCGCTGCCTGCGCGAGATGCGTTCCAGATTGAATCCGCAATTTAGAAAGCCTGTGCAACGCGCCGTACGTATATATACGTGCACACGATCGCTTGTATATATACACACACATATAAATATAGACCGATACACATAAACGCTTCGGAGTTAAAATTATTATTATAGGCCTCGTTGGCTGTAAAAGGACGAGAGAGAATTACGCGTGAAATTTTAACGCCGAAAAACGTGATTATATTATAAGTAGGCTATGTATGCGCGCGCGATCGTAAGGTAGAATAAAAAAAAAATGCGCGGTAAAAATTGCAGCTGCAGTGCAGCGCGCACCCGCGAGCTAATCCCGCGAATGATTGCTCCTACGCGAGTGGTGCAGCTCAGCGAGATTTTTCCATCATTTTGCGGCAATTCTGAAATTGGCCTCGCCGGGCCGCGTCGTGCGCGGAATGTTCGCGCGAGTACGATGACACGCGTTTTCGAAATATCGCCGCAACTATATGTGTGTATCTGTACATACGCCTATAGGGACTATAACGTATGACTGGGAATGCGCTCACCAGTTCATATACGTACAGTATCGTTTTGGAATTAATTACAAAAAATCGTAGCGCGAGCACAGATAATGCACAATGATGTATTCATAATACGCGAAACGATTTAGAAATTCATATTTCTATGGCACCGAAGGAAGGAGAGGCGAGCTCGAAAGAGAGAAAACTTTCTCGAGTGGGTTTTTTCCGCGTGGATCCCTTATAATCGTCGTCGCGCTCGGGCAAACTCAAGCTAGTAGGTTCTGCATTGCAGATAATGTATATGAAATAATGCACTGCCACCCATACGAGAGACTATCGCTGCATGACCATTGAGAATATCCGCGGCGCAGCCTCTATTCAGAATGAGCAAATTAACTGCGCAGATAATCTCAAAATTACACACGTATATTTATATGTGGTATAAGCCCAATGCTGCTGCGGCGCGGCAAAAAACTTCCGATTCATGCGAGATAGCCCCGGTGCAGCCAAGTTGACACAGGAGGATATTTATAAGATTGCATACACACACACACACTCACACACACGCTCATGGAATAGAATATCAAAAGCAAATGCAGCACGCGACCAAACAAAAACGTGCAAAGCTCGCGAGGATTTGCTGCAGGCATATATTTATTATATATATGTTGTAAAGAGAACCCACGGCGAGAGAAAGCGAAGCTTATACGATGGAGGTGATGAATCGTGCATATAGCGTATATTTATATATTGACTTTGTTAGAGGAAAAAAAAAAGATGCACACGATACCAAGATTTTAAATATTCGATAAAACTCTGAAGGGCATTGATTTGAATACATTTCAAATCGTCAAGTCTTTCGTTCTGCTTTTCACTATCCTCGAATACTTCTTCTTCGTTTACTTCAAATTTTCACAAATACTACGATTGTATACGAAAAAAACTGATTTCAATGAAGTAATCCTTTATAAATTAAAATTATAAAATACATACGTAATATATGGTAAATTGGTTAAATGCACATGTAATAAGTATAAAGACTATCCCCGCATGCGCAGAAACGTTGTATCGAGACCAATGGAAATCTTTTTCGTTCATCTAATCCACCTGAGCATCAGTAAAATCAGGATTAGTAATATACCCATTAAAGGGTATATGTATATAAACTGTGGAAGAAAAATATAAGTCGGCCGCATAACTCGCTACATAATACGAGTACAGGTATACGCATTCGATCGTCTATGCTGTACATGCGCGTTTACATTCGAACCCTACATCCCGGTGTTCCCGTTTAATTGAATCATACGTATATTGATATTTAACATTAATTGGAATCGTGAGTTCGTACATAATAATGAGTTTATATAAAAAAAAGCTCGCCTCCAACTCGCTTCTACGTAGGTAAATTGAGCCACGCAATATTCAATTAGATCGAAGGCACAATCGAATGACGAAAGCATTAGCATGTTAGATATTATTCCGGGTATCATCCGCCATGCACGGTAGAATATAATTTTATCCTCACGGCAGCGTATAATTTGTCATTTTATTTCCAATGGCATTCTACAAGTCTACACAAGTTTCCAAAATAAAACAAACAATTCACACTTGACAGGGTGCGGATGCGTTTTTTTCCTGTAGTACAAGTGCTTGTAATAAATGCATATTAGGTAACGCGCGCGAATACAACGGACCAGATTTAAGGTATACGCGTAAGTTGGAATGATGTAGAGCGAGATTCGTATATTATGAGTGTGTTAATGTATTCAGTATTATATATTGTTACAGTTATTTCTCAATTTTACAAGTGCCGTTTGCTGCGTGCGAATTATGCATTAAAATATACACTTGAACCGTGCCTCTATGGAGCAATAGGCGGCATTTGTCCACGTGTACAGAGAGAATAATTTGACTTTCCTTATTATTGTCAACGTTGTACGGGCATGTCATCACAATTTATCTCGTATTGTTCTCACTTCATCAAAGAACGATAAAAGCCTCCGAAAAAAAATCTAATAACCCGTCTTTATTAACCCAGATTTATCTCTCATGCAGCCGAATCTTCGTCGCAGACCGATTTTCGAGGTAATCTCCTTTTTTCTTTTTGCCTTTTTTAATTTTGCAAAAAAATCGCATCGGATAATTTTCGCCAGCTCGCCTCTTGGCACTAATAACACATTGTGCTCACCTCGCTGCATCAAGCCAGCTAGAGCTCCCTCATGTGAATTAGGATGTTTGTTCGTGTCTTTCAACAATGAAGCTCGCGCCGCGCGTACTCGCTGGCTGGCTATACGTATATATACTAATGAATTTCTTTCCGAAATACGCTCATTGTATTGTCAAAGTCTGTCTTTGGATATCATCAGACTATGCCCAGTTTTTTTTTTCATTCGCCAAGAATGTCACTCTGTCTCTGTCTTTCTCTCTATCTCTTACTCTCTCTCCAAAAGTTCTACTGCTGCTGCAGCCTGTGCTCTCGTTACAAAATCATCCACACGACGCGCCATATGCACTTCCATTGTATTCATAATTAAAGTTTTTTTTTGCCGAGACATATCTACGCCCGTGTATATGATGCGAGAGCCAAAACCGCGAGCTAATAAAAATTCGATAAATCACGGATAAAAATGGTTTATGCAATCTTTTCTGCTCGCTCGCATAATCAAACATTCTATCGCGCGCGTATCATTTGTCAAAATCAAAAGCATCTCGCGCATTATACATGTATAGGTATTATATAGGTGCACGCGCTCTTGCGCGTTGTATTTATAAAGCCATCATCGTCATCATTCAAAAGTGTCGAGTCGCGCGCGTACGTAAGTATGTTAACAAGCACACACAAGCACAGTACGATCATCTGCCTTGTATAATACGCGTGCCTATGCTGCATAATGCTGTATTCCTCGAGCATAAGTCATCCTCATACTATACCTATACCTCGTCGATGAGCCTCGTGGCGCTCGCGCGAAAAAATTCACAAATACGCACGTTATTATAACGAGCCATTTGACACTTTCACCCAGCGAGCGTCATATACGCGGCGGCCTGTATGGCATGCATTTATATGGAAGCCTTTTTGGCCGAGAGTAAAAGAAAGAGAGAGAGAGAGAGAGAGAGAGAGAGAACAATGTAACAAAACGATTTCGTAGATCATAATATAACACTGTCGCAAGCATAAGAAACGTTTTGTAACGAGAGCGATGCATGGAAACGAGAGTGCATATAAGGATCGAACGACGTCTTAGCAGCTTTATAATATTCGATACATGTATGAGTGTACGTGTTGGTGTTCATGGGTATATATATGTAGTTTTTATAAGCTGGCAGAGTCTCGATGACGATATATTTTATGGATGCAGAGAGGTGAAAGCTCTTGAGAATCTTCCAGGAAAATAATATTTAAATTTTTAAACGCTGCTGCTGCTTTTTTCATACTTTCCACACTGATATGCACGGAACCGGCATTGAAATGCGCACGAACGAATGGTATATATAACATAATACTTGCAAAGTATTATCGTAAACTTTTATTCTCTGAATTTTCTAAAAATGTGCAAGGAAATACAATTTTACATATGCAATATTTATAAGTGAATATGATTAATAGTGAAAACGATACAAGAGTCGTAGAAATTGATCAGCGTCTTGCGAGTCGCGCACAGCATCGATGTATAATTGCTGACACGAAGCTGACTCACCGACTAATTAAATACATGTACAGTTAGATCTGCATACAATGTACGCGTAAATCCAATTAAAAACTATGCATTTAAATGTTGGAACCGACGAACGTAATGTACAGAAAACAAGTCGCGTTTACCAGTGTCCCATCCTTCCTTTATGGTTAAGAAAAAAATCGTTGGATTATAAAAATATATAATATAAGGAGCGACAGAGGGAAGAAGGAGAAGAAGAAAAAGGAGAACATTAGCATAATTATGGCAGTTGCTGCAAGTTGCGCCATTATTATTCCATTGTCCAATGATGAAAATGAAGAAGTGCACAACGTCGGTGGCGGCTGTGCACACGTTGATATGCATAAAATTCGAATTTTGCCAAGCGGCGTCGAGTTTGAGCTATAATGCGACGTTAGTTGCCTACTGCTGTGTTCCATTTCTTTTCTTTTTTTTTTTTTTTTGCGAAATCTGCACATACATCCACTCACGCTGTCGAGAGAGACCGCCGGAATCATTACTATCGACGTACGAATCCAGCGTTGTGCAGTATGTGATGGATTTTTTCACGTGGGATCTTGTCGCTTTCTCGGTCGGTTACCTGCCACAGAAAATTACGCTCATATTACGTGGCTAATTATTTTTTTTTATGCACATGCCAGCTGCACTACGACAGGCACATTTTTTAATACAAGCGCTTAACACCTAATAAATATTACGGCTATATGCGAGTGTATGTAAGTGTGCTCATGTGCGGTTATATCGGGCATTGGTACAGTTTTCAGTTTCGTAATGTTGTATTTTGTTAGTTTTAAGCCACTCGGGAATGATATTATTTGTCAGCTTTATGCTGCAATTTGAATATTCGCAACGAGCCGCCGAGCTTTTAAAAGTAGAGCAGAGTTTTCTCGAAAGAGGCAAAAAAAAGAGAGAAATAAATAAGTTTGCTAATACCTGTCCGACTTTTAAGCAGGTATAACGATAAAAGTTAGAATTATAACATTTCTCGACGGATCTTTGCGGCTTATATATAGACACAATCGACGCGAGCTCTAGCTGAATGAAATTCAACGGTGAATTTTTGTAACCTCCTGTGAGCATAAACGTAGCCAAAGTCATATCGAGTTCATATTATACAACGATGCTCGCTGTATCAAAGTAGTTGGAGCGCACACGAGCATGGTAGTTTTGAAATTTTATGGTGCGAGGTCAAAACACACAAAACAGCAACAGCATTATATCTGCCGGAGAGGCGCACAAATTGCAAAAAAGAGGAAACGAAAGCGAGAGATGGTAATCGAGGTTTTTTTAAATTTAGTTCGTCTCAAAGAAGAAAACATTTTTTCTCATAATGACCACACCACTTGTACTTGGCTAAAAAACATGTGTAATTATGTCACCTAGTAGTTTTTTTATGTTACCGTGTTTAAGCTTATGGTAGCCGTGGACGTAGTATCACGAGGGATTTACATAAAGTATTTTAATTATAAAATCAAACAAAATCAAGTTTTCCGAAAAAATAAATTAAAATTCCGCTTATTCAATATCTTGCTTTATCGTTTTTTTTCTCATTGAGTGCAGTCATAAAATGCTAATATTTATTTTACTTCCGTGATCGATCAAACGAAATATATAATAAAAAATTTACTTTCAGCAAAACTCAAGCGCATGATGAAAACTGTAAGTGAAAAAGTGAAACATTGATGCACATCTCGCGGCGGTGCGCTCGAATACTTTGGCAACTGCCTCTCGTCAAGGATACACACTCACCAATCCCTCCTTGTAACCGAACCAAGAGGGTTCGGCGAGCGACGCAGCTATATGAGGATTCTTGTAAAAATCATTTCTCAGGTAATCGGGCAGCGAAGCCTCCATCGCGGCGTTGGCAAGTACCGCTGGATGCTGCAGTTGGAATGCATTTTCCTGCACGTAATACAACGGCACGGCCGAGCAAACACCCAAAATAGCTAACGATGCAATGATTCGAATCATGGTTGTAGAGCTGTGTCTATATAGGAAATAATTATTTGTATTTTATATATTTTTCGAAGAGTTTTAGATGTGCATGCAGAAGTGCAATGAATATTTCTTTATAAAACAAATAAATATAATTCCCCTCACTACATTATCGACGATAAAATGTGGGTATATTACGAAACGACAAATAGCGCGCTTAGGTTGGATCAGATTTATGATGCATTCCAGGTGAAGGAAAATATTTTATCGAGATTCGAAAAATAATGAGCCTTATTTATCTCGATAAACATCAAAGTTATGAAGTTATTAACGATTCGTAATATTAATAAGCACTCGATTGGCCGATTAAAATTACTCGTGTAGATACAAGTAATGACTCCTGGACAAGAGAGAAAAAAATTGATTGAAAATCTTTTTAACGTTTAACGATCCCCAAATGGAAAAGGCGCGCATATAATGATAAATGACAAAACCGCAAGTTTTAATAAACGTGGAAGTTCAGCGCGCCGCGCGTGCGGGATCTCTTTATAATAGAGAAATAGCCGCCTGTGCTCTCGCGCGCGCACGACGCGTATGCGCGGGTGAATTCGCGAAACCTCTAACTTTTGGCGCGCGCGCGGGCACACACACGCGCAGAGACTCTGAACATTCACTTTCGCATCCTACGTGACTTTCTTACACGCGTGTATATAATAACTTATGGTCGCGTCGGCCAATGGCACATTGTCTTTTCGCATTCGAGTCTTATTGCCTCTGGTGTATGTGTGCGTGTATGTATGAGTGTAGGAAACGCGTGCGCGCGCGTACTACACAGTGCAGACCGACGGTGGCCAGCACGCGCGAGGTGAACGGCTTATCGCGTTGCTTCCTTTTTTCATCGGGCAAAAACGCGTATCCGTCTTTTATTCTTTGACAGGTATACGCGCAGCACTACATGAGGTAGCCGCGAGATGGTACAAGCTGATTTTACGTAACACGCGCTGTTTTGCGATGACCGAGCGATGATTGTGCGCGAAAACCATAAGTGAGATTCATTAATGTAGGCTAAATAGCTTTTTTTAACTTTTTTTAAGAGTAATTAGTTTCTTCGAGATTACATTTCAAGGTTTATCGGTGTTTTCGATGTTACGATACAATTTTACTCTTTTCCGAGTTATGAGGTCTTAAATTGGTGATTATCAATTTATCAATTTATACCAATCTATTCGTTATTACGCATGAATGACATCGCTCCTGATAAATAGATTATAATTAATAGGAATTGAAATTCCGAAGAAATATTCATTGAACTCTGTATTTAAATGATAAAATTCACACTTGCATACTTTTGTACATAAAAACACTCGACACACAATATAATGGCGCGTACTTTCACTTTCCAATTGCTGCCTCGTTGGCTATATGAAACTCTGCATGCAGCCGCTGTGGCAGGATATTTGCAAATGCCGAATTAATTTCGAGTGTCCGGCACGTTTTTTGTGACTAATTACGCCTGCAAGAAGCCACCGTGTAAACCTGCAACGAGGAGCAAATTCGACAATTGCGGTGATTTTAAATACGAGGAGATTGACTTGTAAGCGCGAGAGAGTCGAGTTTGATGTATGCACGCGGCACGCACTGCCGAACGAAAAAGTTTGAAACTGGCAAGAAGTTCCGCCTTCGACGGTCTCTTATATACACGAACGAAACGAACCAGTATATACCAGTAGGAAGTGTATCAGTGGTCCAAAAAGCCTTGAATGCTTATACAAAGAGGAGGGACGCGTACACACAGGAGCATATGAGAGAATTACGCGTGGTGCGCTTTACTTGCAGAACTGAGTCAAGGGTGCGATATTGAGAATATGGATTTTTTACCTGACATTGGTGATTCACTTGTAGCAAGTGTCCTTGCCATTGATCAAGAAACAGAGATCGAAATAGAAAGACTCATCGATCATAATTGCTGTTGGCTTTGATTGGTCACTATACATCAAATATGCCATCGAAAATACAATAAGAATCGTCCCAAAAAACAAAAATATTCCCATAACCGTGGTCTTTTACTTATATAATTTTATTTTTACTTTGCCACTTGCAGATTTACAGATAAAAGTACTCGCCATCTAGCGGTGAAAACTAACTTTAATTTTTATTGAATTTCCGTACTTTTTTCGTGCAATTAACGAAAACTATAAATCAATATAAAAACATTAATTTTCGATCAAAAAGTTTAAATTTGAGTTAAGAATTGAATCTGTTTTTTTTTGTTTTTCTTAAAGAAAATGTATATGACTGCATTTTTATGAATTTTTGTGCAGTTGATGTAAAAAAATAAATCAGTCCTGATACATTAATTGTCAACAAATTAAGATTTTATTTAAAAGTATTTTAAAATTTTTATCTTCATCGTTTGAGATGCTGATTAAAATCAAGTATTTAAAAAAATGAATTAAACAGTATTTATAATATAGTAAAAAATGATTTTTTTAAATTATACAGGTAGGTTGATCAAAGGAAAAATCGTCCAAATTTTTCATTTTACATTTTATTACCTAATCAAATGTATTTTTACTTATAATTTCATGTTACAATCTATATCTATTACGATATACAAACGATAACGTGATTTCGTCGAATGCATTATATAAAGATCGTCATTTTTTTTTGTCTTATTTTTGTTTTTCTTTATTTTATTTTCTTAAAAAAACAACAAAAACGAAAAAATGTCATGAGGTTTTTCTTTTTTAACAATAAAGTTGTGTATAGCATCGTGAAGAGTATAATATATTTATAATCTCGAGTCAGAGGCGATCATAAAACACGTGTGTGCGTGTCTGTATTTGTGTAAGAGTATCGATGTCTTCCCTCTCAATGCACAATTCATCAGTCTCCCAATCTTATACTCTATAAATTTTAATAAAATGTATTTTTTTTTTTGTTAATTTTCCTCTAATTTTTTATATAAATCAATTTCGCCTGAAAAAAATTCAGACAATAATACATCAGAAAAATTTTTAATAATTACGCTTTATAAAAAAAATAAACGCAATTACTTTCGTATCATTTTTTCTTCAATTGCAGTGTGTTAATACAAATAACGTGTTTTGGTATGGAATTATTAATATCAGAAAATCTAATGAATCGGTAGTTATAACCCTTATGGTTGTACTTAATGATTAGCACTGTAGCTCCACAGTTTCTAATGATGCGGATTAAACAATGCAATAATGTCGTAAAAACTTGTCGTTTTTTTCAATCTCCAATCGTCAAATTGATTGCCAGATTCATTATTAATTTTTCCGGCTTTCTGCAGCTTTTTCATGAAACCTTAAAAGAAACTCTCTTTCGATTGAGAATCGCGATATGGAACAAATGGTAAAATGAGAAGCAAATCAGAGGAGCAAAATGTTGACGTTTTATGTGTATATAAATATACTTATGTTTCACGTGTACGTATGTGCATTGAATGATCATCCTCCATTGGTACTGTATGGCCTTATTTTTACACTCTTTTGAAATCCCGCGCTTATATTCAACTATATAAGATTTCTAGATGCTCGATTACATTACCAAACATCTTTGCTATGAAACTTTGGATGTTGCCACAAAGTTTTATCCGATTTCCTCTCCTTCAATTATACATGACATCGAAATTTATATATATATATATATGCATATAAAGATCACTCCTTTCACTGATTTTTTTTATTCGTGCATAATATTTACAATCTATCATTGTACAACACGTGTGCCCATATTCAATATCGTATGCGCACACGTGCCCGTGAACGTGTGGTGTATAATATAAGCAAAGAGATTGAGGATTTCATGAAAAAGGGGCGAAAAAATCGGCATAAGTTACAATAATTCTTTTTATAGAAAAGCATATCTGTGTACGTACTTTATATTTTTATAATATAAAAATGCTTCGACACGACTGCTGCGTTCGCGTTCTAAATTCGACGAGATTAATATTTTTTTTTTCTTATTCTTTGCCATTTTTTCATGCTTTTGTCATTTCTCTCATTTTTAATTTTGCATCAATTCATCAGTGAAAATATTAATACCATATGAATTGAAAATAACAAACTTTTCGAACTACTTTACAGTATAAAAAGACTATACAGGTGATAATGAATTTTTATTTTTAATTTATCAATTAATATAATTCAACATATATTACACATGAAACGTTTCTTAAAGGCTCTTTTTAACTCTTCACTCTCTTCATTTTGGATGGACTAAAAGAATAAGAGTGAAAAGTCAAGATAAATCAGCAATGCAACTCTGGTAGTTTTTTTTTAAATGTACAACGTTTATTTTAAAGAGTCCAGTGTACTTCATGTTTCTGCAATAATCTGGAAAACCCGTAAAGATTCTCATGAATTTTTTAGTACGTTTTTCATGCTTGCGCAAGGTAACAACCCAAACACTTTTATTAATGCACGAAAACGTAAAAATAAGTGGCAAAGAACTTCTGTAAGCGTGAGAAATATCGATTCGATTCAGAGTCGTAATTTTGAAAAGTTCACTCGAAATTTGTTCTCTCTCAAGCGAGTGCACGAATGTTAGGATGAAATAAAAAAATCTCACGTGGGTTGACATTCATTTGGTTGCTCATTTCATGTTTAATACATATATAACGGCTTGTTGCTCCTCCCAACATCAAAAATCGTATGCTGCTGGGACCAGCTCAGCCAAATCTAATAATATTTTTTTCACCATTTTCATTTCATCATTTTTTTCTCGTTAACTTACTTTAAAAAATAGCGTAAACGGCACTGTATTTAGGAAGAAGCAAAATACACGTTACATTCTCATTATCGTTGACAAACTATTTATACTTAATATAGTAATCATTTTTTTTAATTTCTCTTCTCAGCCATCCCTTGTATCTCGAAAAAATTCTCATGTGTGTGTTTAATACGTTGTTTCTTGCTGTGTAATCATATTCATGTTCAATAGTTATAATATCATAATGAATGCTTATATATCGATTTATAAGTCACGTAATCTGTATTATCGCTAATTTTTTTATACAACACGAGAATCTACGATGTATACACACTTAATAATCGCTTTTTCTTTCGTTTTGACCCAAAACGTTTGCACGCAATCAATTGAAACTCTTATGTCGTAGGCAAAAATTTTCTTTTTCTCCATCTTATTTTTCACTATACAAGCACGAAGACAAAGTCGATATCCGACGCATCCCGAGTCTAAAATGTTTTCGACAATCTAGTTTTATGTTTTATGTACACTGTAGTTGACAAAGAAAGGCGTGATTATATTTTAATCGAAATTGCGTTATACAGCCTCCGTCAATTCCACGTTGAATAGATATAATGTCAGTTAGATACACATGATTATATTTACGTGTAAACTCTATCGAATTCGTGTAAACGCCTCGGAACTCGGCTTCGTCTTCGATTCAATTATTTGCGCATTCAGAAAGTTATATCACTAAAACGTATTTATAATATTTATAATGTATCATAATTATATCGTGTAGCTGTATACAAACTGGATAAAACTTCGTACTTCATTTTTTTTCTTTGGCTACTCAAAATCACGCACATAATGTATAACATCAAAAACTCACCTGCATTCTTTGAACAAAAAAAGACTACGTACCTATTTACTTTTAATTTACATCTTGAAGATTTTTTGCAATTTTAATCAGATATAAATCAACTTTTTCTCGTAACTTTGTTTTTCATTTTTCATTCAATGTTGATTACACGTACTTGTATGATATACAAGTATATATACCTCTAACTAAGCTAGACTCCGACGGAAAAATATATTTATAAAAAGTTTTTAATCCCATAATAATATTCATCATCATTATCGTCGTTGCACTTTCATCCACGAGTGAAAATGCCATTTTACATTATATCGCATATATGTATGTATATAATTATATGTTTTCAATTTATATACAAAATATACATACACATATTCTATATTTTGCACGTATTTATAGTATTTATATTTTCGTGTATATTATAGGTTTTTCAAGCGTTCTATTTTAATTTAATCACTACTGATAATCTCTACTTAAATAACTAAGCTCACGCCCATGGATTTTTTGTTTATTTCTTTAAAACGCATACAAGATTCATCAACCTCTTTTGCTTCAACAAGTGAACTCTCTCTTTTTTATGGTTTCCGTTTACACGATTTTTGTTACATATTCAACTTGGCGATCAAAAATGGGCGAAAATTAGTTGAATCAGAGCGACGTCTCATGTGCCTTTGTTTATAACATTAATGACGTTGTTGTGGATGGAATCCGTTACTTTTTTCTGATCTTCAATGAGACAGACAATTTTTCGTTAACTTTTTTTATAAATATTATCATTTCATAACGTGAGCGTTGCTCTGTTTCAATAATTATTTATTTTAAGTACTGAATTTTGAAAAGGATCTTTTCAACTTCGTAAAAGTGCATACAAATCATTATTAATGTAGAGTAATCAAAAAAGACCTTCTTAACTACATTTAGTAAGGGTAGACGTTCATTTATCATATCAATTGATTAATTTGTGCGTTATTCGAAGTAACAAGTAAAGGAGCTCAAGTAAAAAAGCTTTTTTTTTTAAATTGTAATAATGTTAGTTTTATCTACAACTCAATCTTCCGTTATGGAAAATATTGCAAGGTTTTCATTGTCTCTTGGAATTCGTGGATAAAATAAAAGGTTAATGAAAATTAAAAAAACAACTCACTTCAGCATTAAATAAAAGTCATTATTATAATTTAATAACTTAAATTAATAAACAATAAACATCTATTTTTTAAATATATAACATAATAATTCATTTAGTAAATAATATGGTAAATTCTTTTTACATGCAATTTAAAATCTTAATCAATTTACGTATGAAAGATCTAAAAAATACAGAATAACTTAAGAATAAAAATCTTTTGACTAATCGTATTGACTTAAGAGTAAAAACAAAAATTGTCACAGTATAAGTCGGCAGTCTCGGTATAACACAGAATCATGTGTCATGGGAATTAGTACTGTGAATTTTATAAAACACAATTACAGAATAATGCAACTAAAACCTCTGCTGGTTCAAAGAGAAAAAATAAACAGTGCACGTTATTAGTAGAACTTTTAATTCAGTCTTATTTTGTTTACTTCACTTTAAATATCATTCAATTTTGAGTAGTTTTAAAACCACTCATGAATTTGAAGAGGATTTGCAGAGATATCGTTGCTAGAGTAATGCCAGTATGGGTTGAATCGTATAAGGTAAATCACAACTTTTTAAAACGATTCTAGAGCTTTTTGCGGATCATTGCGTCATGGAATGCACTAGCATTATTACACGTATCACTAAATCTTCAATAATATCAATCATAATGACTAAAAGTTATGAATCACGAAAACAAAAGAACTCAAAATGAATGCTTGATGTTTCTTTTCAAAAGTGTATTCTGGGAACAATTTATTTTACCATCGCATGCTAATTATTCAAATAGAGAGAATGCTCACGAGTTCTTTTAAACGAAAATCACGTCAAATCGCCATTATGTTCTTAATCTTGCAAACTTTCCTTTCGTACGCCTAGAAAAAACTTTTTGTCATATCGAATATATCACATATGCGTTACTTCTAAACACACTGAAATAAGAAGCACTTTAAGATAGATGTCTACATGCACCATCCAGCCCAGAATAGATGGACTACTTTTTCGTTAAATTTTTTGTCATACTTTTTTTACTGCTCTCGTATAACTTGATTTAACTGCTAGAATATAAGTCCTCATGTATAATATCATTTACGCGTACAAGAGTGATAATAATAATAATAGTTATTTACACACGAAGCTCCACTTTTACACAGATTTAAATACAAATCACTTAATTCACTCGATTAACTCAGTTTTTAACTAATTACGTATTAGAATGTAGGCGAGTGTTTGACATGAGCACTCTCAAACGTACAAAACCCAAGTATCAACCTTTAAGTTCCGTGACAAATTAAGAGATGTTTTTACACTACACGGCCTTGGTAATTCATGACTTTTCTTTTCTTTGTTTTTTACATTTTAAAATTTCTTTCTATACATTCAAGCCTACTCATGACAAAAATCTCAAATGTAAGGCAATCTCCACGCTTTTACTAGTAGAGCTCTAATATAAAAATTAAAATTTATCATGTTACATTACATTCTCATTTCAAGCCATTGCACGTCAATAGCTCCAATACTTGATTTCCTTAAAAAATTAATTAAATAAGCCTTTGGTTTCAAATTAGATCTTCCGATCGAATGTTTTTCGTAATCATAACTGATTCAAGCAAATTGATAAACAAACATATGCATTAATGTAGCAGTACTCAGTTTTTTGCGACTTTAATTGACACACATCGAGTCACTAGCTTGTAACTGATTTTTTTCATTATAAATAAAACATAAAAAGGTGGAGATTACTCTTAAAGCGGTTGCGTATGTTTTATCAATATACAACTTCATTTCCGTACAATGTATAAGCCTAATCCTTTGCTATTGCAACAATTAATCATCGCTCTACGTATTATTTCTAAAGTTATTTTTATAGTTGTCTTTAAAGTTGAGATTCGCTCATTGAAAATTGCGCAATTCAAGTGTTATGATGAATTTTTTAATACATCATACAACATAGTTTCTTTGACCCCTCAGCAAATTTTTCTTCACTTTGACTTTCATCCCTTTTAAACAGAGGACATTCGAAAAACACCGCATTTGCTCATTTTATGTACCTTTTTGGCAGTCGAAGATTTAAAACAAAGCTTTTATAATATAATATTCCTGCAGCGTGTTTATTTTACATTGACGGAGAAAATATAGTTGTCGTTCTCGAGAGTATCTTCAATCCTAACGTTCGATTCAACAAGTTTGCGATCATATGTATAACCATATATTCATAGGTAATGCAGGATAAAAGGAATTCATAATTAAGCTTTAACATACAAGTTTCTCGTTCTATGATACAGTTGTTGGCATCAAAGCTGCAACGAAGACTGCACTCTCGAGACGAAGGAACGAAGCATTTTTCTTTTTAAGAATATCAAAGCCTCACTTAGGTCGAGCGGCAAACTTGATCTCGACAAATTGTACATAACTTTCAAACGAAATATACACATCTTAATTAACAATATTCGCATATATATGCCTATACATATACAACGAGAAGGAAGTCCCTTAGACTTAATACGTCAAATTATTTTAAAAAACGACCAAACGTCGAAAACTTCGAGTTCGAGCAAACAGTACAATGTGGCAGAGATTACATTTGGAGAATTACTAATTCCCTTAAATTCTCCAGGCAGATAAACAGATTATATACAAAATTAAACATCTTTACACTAAATGTTTACGATGCTCGGTTTGGCAGTTGTTTTTTTTTTATTTCTACTAGCTCTAACTCGAAGCCTTTAAAAGCCACAATCGGCTAGACGATATTTTATATGTACAAATAAAAAGAATCACTGGCACGTGCAATATAATCCAATATCGCAAATCAGTATTACAGCAAAGCATTTGGAATAGCGCGCGTCAGAGCATCTTCGACGCCAGAATTGTAATGGTCAATGATAAAGTTGATTTTTCACACGTTAAAATTATGTGGCAGTTAGTTAATGGTGACCCAATTACAATAGTATATTGGTTTAAAAAATGTTAGCAGTGGATATAATTATATTTTGTTGTGTACTGAATAAGCTGCTTTTAAAAAACAATAGTCGATTTATCATGAGTCGAGTATATAAAATATAGAAAATGTCCAATTTTCGTCTGTCTACTGTTGAATAAATCATACAGTCAATAGGCTTAATTCAGTTTGTCGACTGCCTTTACAAAGTCAATGTCCTCTTAAAAGGACAAGACTTCGGATCATCCATTGCACTCGTCGTGTTGAAAATCGACCTGATCATTGCGATTAGTTTTCGGCCACTCGCAGAAGCTCGTGGTAGCGGCAGCTGCGGTGGTGCTCGTTTGTTGCTACGTGGCGCACGTGTTAACATCGTCGCGGAAGGGATTTGTTTCTTTGAAGCTAAGGAGAGGAGCGAGCGAGTCAGCGGTACACTATGAGCGATATATGAAGCTACAAGGTGGTGTTGGCGGAGGCGGCGAGTTACCACCACCCGTCTGGTGTAGCATGTTGCTGCTACCTTGTCCACCTTGGCTTAGAAGAGTCGGCGACGGCGAGGAGGAGGGCGGTGACGGTGAGCTCGATGACATACTCGAGCCAGGCGAAGGCGTTTCGATACCACGGCCACCACCTATTCATTGAATTTATATTTATTTTTGTGCACTCGTTCACGATGAAGCCAAAAGAGAGAAAAAAGTACTTACCTAGAGCCAAATCACGAGAGGAATGACCCTGGTGATGGTGGTGATGTCTATGCGATCCACCATTACCGTTACTTGGACCGTTTTGTCTGGAAGCTGTGCCACCGCAGTTCTGCTGTTGCTGCTGTTGTTGCTGTTGCTGTCGGTGTTGGCCGCGGGCCGGCCTGCCTAGACTTCTATGTCTACCAGCGCCCGCCGCCGCGGCCTGTGCATTGCAGCCCCCCTCCTCGCTCGTTTCTCAGAGATAAACTTTCTTTACGCTTCGAGTCGTGGCGAAGCCGTCCTGGCGACGGTAGGCGCAGTTTTCGCCCTGGTGCGATCGCAGCGTTCCAAAATTGTCGGAGCGCGCCGTGGGTCCGCGGTAACCGTAACCGTCAGGAAACTGGAACAGTGTTTCGGCTGGCGTTGGCGGTGGTTTGCGCATCGTACCCTTGGGCGAGTGCATTTTCGGCGGTTGTGGAACCAGAACGGGCTCAGCGTAAGTAACTTCCTCTTGTGGAAGCAATTTTGGCTCGGGTGCTAATCGACTGTATATTAACAAAAATCAATACATTAGCTTATGATATTGGTTTTCAAGAAGCGTATCGAATTTCATTAAAATGCCAATAACTGAAACTTCAACAAAAATTTTTTATAACAGTTCGAGTCTCAATACAAACTGTTTTTATCTTTTTTAAAGCAGTCAATAAAAAGCTTCAATTCTTGGCAATTTAATCGAATATTTTTCATCGAGATAACAATTTAAAAGCATTAATTTCTCTTTCACCTGTTGACGTTTTGACGTTGCTCGAAGTACTCGTACTCGGTATCAGGGTAGGGCATATTGTCATCTTCGTCTTTTCTGCATTTGCGCCCGCAAAGGTAACCTGCCGTAAAGCCAACCAATAGAGCAGATAAAGCGCCGGCGATCACGGCCATGACAAGCGTCTCCACTGAATACTGTGGCGGTGGTGAATCAGCAGCCGAGACTTCTGGACCTGTAATTGGCGGCAATTTAAGTTGTGCGAAAGATATTTATTATTACGTTCGTGGGAATAAAAAATTTCTTTGTTAAAAATCATCAATGCCAATTTGGCGTTGTATTCAAAATAGAGAACGACAGTTATTACATTCGATGAATATCGCTATAGAAGCGCGTGAGTCATCCAATCGTCGACTTAACAATGAAAATCATTCATTCATTGACTCTTATTTGAAGCTGAGATCAAAAACCCCTTTAGCTTAACGAGCTTATGAAAGATGAGGAGAAGAAAGGTCATATTTATCGTTATTAATTCTTGTGCAAAGAGAGCTAAACTCACCAGAATTGCCTTGTTCTTCGTCTTGCATTATATTGATGATTTCGCCACCTTGGCTGTCTTTATTTAAAACCATGGAATCTTGAGGGAATTTATTTTGATTGGCTGATATGGCACCGACACTGCCGGCGTCTTTGTTCAGATTTTTACCTCCTGCGGGACAACTGGTATGCGTACCAGTAGCGACGCTTTGCAAAAAGCGATTCGCGTCCGTTGCAGCTGGACCAACGAGAGCACGACATTTACCATCCACTCGATCCCACGCGCAATAGGGATCTTGAAGAGCCACGCATTCACCTAAAAGAATACGTATGTTATAAATTCAAATTTTTCAAGAAATTACGAAAAATGTTTAACACGCGAAAAGTTCAACTCACCACAAGACAATATTCTATCGCTGTAGCATCGATGCAGTCTCAATGCCTGAACTTGGCTGTCAGCGATAACTACTAATCTACCATCTTCGAGACCGTCGCCAACTTGCGCAGCCCTGACGACTTTGATGCCGCGCACTGGCACAGTAGCTGGGAATGCCTGGATCTCCTCTATTACCACGGGACTAACTTTATCTTTCGAGTCAGCTGACTCGGCGTTAATAGCTTTTATGACCTTTCCGTTGTCCGTGCCTATGAACAGTACGTCGTAAGTCTTGCCCCCTGGTGTCTTTACTTGAGGATCCACGGTTATTTGAGTGAACCTATAGCTGTGGGACAAGAAATTATACGATTAGTGATAATAAATTCTTCAGAATATTCAAATCTATAAGTATGGTAGATAATTTACAGAATGTTTGTGATATTTTCATCTGAGCTTTATAGCTCTTAAACAATTTTTCTTTTACTTTTTATATTGATCTTCAAAATAAATTAAATTTTATGTCATAAACAACAACAAAAAACTCACTGGAAGCTTGTACGTATAACGATTGGTTGTCCAAAGAAACTTTTCACCGACTCATCCATGAGCGAGTGAGTCTTGATAAAATTAAGCGTCAAATCGGGCAGAGTACGCGAGTCGTTGGCGCATTGTCCAGGCCTCGGGTCGGGCACTTTGGAGCTCTGCACGGGCAGCCAATTGGAATTTAGGGCGCTCTGCTCTTTGAAATTGCCCTCGAATGTGTCAGCGATGTCTTGAAGCGAGAACGCGCAGACAGCCGAGCCACTGATGCTGTTCACGGGCGTCGTGAATGTGCCGTAAATGAGCTGAGCTTGCACGCCCCCGTACACGCCCGATATTAATTCCGTCGTGGATTCTGTGACAAAAAATAAACATGAGTGTTTGTAATCTTTTTTTAATTAAAAAAAAGTAAGGGTGAAAACGTACGTATCTCGTTGAAGTAAAACGGAAAATCTCCGGTGACTGAACAGTTGAGACGAGATTTCAAGAACGAGGTCCACCTGTTACGAAATCGATGCGGTCCGCCCTTATCAGACTTGCAAACTCTGGCCACTCGAGAGTACACCGCCTGCACGATGTGGAAAAAAAAACGAATTTGTAATGCGATGCATAATTTTCTAATCGACAACTTGACGGTGTGATTTTTTGTTTTTGCTATAGGGCAGTTAATACGCCTCCTCCGGTATATATTTAAACATTATAGAAACGAAAGACGGAAGAAAAAAAGTCACATGCAAATACTCCTCTTTGCCCTCTTTTCGCGCTTACTTTGCATAATTTCGTGATTTTGCACGGGGCAATTTTTCAGTTCTGTAATACACGTACACATTTGAGAAAATGTACAAAAAAAAATATAGAAGCATGCACGCTAAACCGTACCATAGCCTGTTATTTGAATTTTCACTCTTATGAATACAAATGATTAATGCTAATGATATACAAACCTTGCCACAATTGATGTACTCCACGGCGGTCTCACGGAAGAAAAAGTACACAAAGTCACCTTGTGTCATTGAACTCACGAAATTCGGAGCTGTAAGAGAAAAGACAAAACATTTTTAATTTAAACTTTGAATTTTCTTTTCCATTATTGTACGAGCATGTATGCGGTAGGAAAGACAAAAAAAATGTCTCAACTGATACAGTTTTTATCTTATGATCTTCCTAATTCCAAAAGTTATCTCGCAAACTTTACGCAGTTGCAGAAAGAAAAAATAGGTCGTGTATATAGATAAGAAAAAGGTAGACGGAAGGAGAGAGAGATGTCGAGGTATCAAAGAGACTCTGGAAGTGGATAAAAGTATCTCGTCGAGTTATCTAGATTAAAAGGTGAACAGGATCGTTAATCTACTGAGACGGCAAAGTTTTCCTATTAGACATACTCCATGTATATAGATGTATTATTCGACGTGATCGACATTAATTGGCGATTGATAAGAAGGCAGCGCGCTGAACAAGGCGAGGACGAATAAAAATAAAAAACAAATTTCTCGCACCAATGTTTTTTCAATCGTCGTCGCTGGACTTAATTGCGTCTGACCAAATCGATGTCTCTACTACTTGAGAGGGTTGGTGGGGGAGAAAAAAAGAAAAGAAAAAAAACTTACCGTTAAGACTCATCGAGTCGTACTGCTCTGTCTGCAGTGGCTCCCGATATATAATAGGATCCATGCCGGTGAAATCGGCCACAGTCCCGGTGAACAGTTCGCCGTCAACGTAAACATAAGTACTGTTGTGCTGCGGGTCGTAGGGGCAGAGAGCTTTGGCGACTTTTTCGCTCGTCATGCTGTAGTTGCCCGAGTGCACATCGTAATAGCGACACATCGGCTTGAAGGCATTCGTGCCGCAGACTAAGAGACTGTTCGAGTTGCTCTTCGCCAGAATACGTATGTAGTTTTGACAGTTCTCGTCGTCTTTGCCCTTCACCTGACACATCTTCACGTCCATGTCGGGCGAGTACCAAGTTAGACGTTGTTGCTCCGTCAGATCGGTTAAGCTCAAGTTGTGGACCAAATTCCTAAAGAAAATAAGACATTTTAGTTTTTACCAGTGTCTCTCCTTAGAATGTGTGTGTGCTTATGTGCGTGAGTCTGACAAACTGTCGCAAAGTTTGCTGCTGCTCTTACATTCGAGTCTTATCGCATTTGTCACTCGAGTTACGCCCGGGCAAGAACCGGCAGACACAAAAAAAATAAAATTGCCGCGCGATGCACGTTCGACAAGCTCGACGCGTACATACGTAATTCTTCGATAATTGCGTACTGTGTACGGACAAACCACCGTGGCGCTCATAATGCAACTTGCCGTGTTATATGCGGTATACAGCTCGAGCAAACGGGGCCAAGCGGCAAAGACGTGCTAGAAACATGCCAATAAACAGCTTCTCGCTTTCACACGTGTTGTGTGTGAGCGAACGAGGCGTACTACGCGCTACTTGTTCACACATAAACACTCCCACTCCTAGTGCAGCAGCAGCAGCAGCGGCGAGCTTCGCACGTATAATATATATCAGCTATGCACACACACACACACACACACACACACACACACACACACACAACACCGAGGAACTTTGAGTCTGACGTTTTAATCAAATTCAGATCGCGCGCGAGCTTGCCTCGCATGTGTAGAGGGGCATACACTATACAGGTACGGTATCGCAAAGCTCGGCGACCAACGAATAATTGGTCAGCTTAATTTCTTCCGTGAGTAGTGACGGGCTCGTTATGTTATATGTACAGACCGTATGCACATACAAACGAGACGTTTTAATTGAAAATAATTAAAATAGATTTTATATATAGCGGGGGCGATTTTTCAATTAATCGATCGCGCGCGAGTCTCGCGCTGCTGCTGACGCTACAGCTGCTTGCGCTTGACAACCGAAGTGTAAATACACCTATCGAATCACACAGAGGCGCGCGCGCGCGGCTATGTTGATTCAGCCCGATAATAAAATTAGAGCAGTCTGAAATTAGAATGTGTGAAAGATAATGCACGTATACACGTATTTTAATGTAGTTGGTCGCGCAGAGATCACGTTGCATAAATATATTACCCCCCCGACCTAGTGAGCTGCTGCGCGCGCTCGATTAAATCGAATATTCCTTTACATACACACACGCCGTCGCATAGTCTCGCCTTGTTATTATTACATCAACGCCGCGCGTCTTACATTATATCTCCGTGTGCATACACGTTCAGAAATCGATCGACTTAAACGCCACGGAACAAACAAAGCTGCGCGCTTCGACCTCGGCACGCATAAAATCTATATTACGCACTAATCTAGGTGCGTCGTCAACTAAGCTCACCTTTAACGCCCTATACGCCATATAGAATATTGTATATATGCAGACCTCTCTTAACTTCACACTAAATATGCAGTATATATTATGTATAGGTATAATATCAATAAAACGAATTATAATACGCACGAGAACGATATAACGTATAGACGATCGCAATGATTGCCGGGATTAATTTACATGACTAGCGTATATATCGCCAGCGGGTTCGCGCAGCGCCGCGCACAGGCGTACGTTACAATAATGAATGTCCTTTTGTCAAAAATCAGCGCTGATTCGTGAAAATCGCGAGACGAGCTATCGTTAATTATTACGCGCGCGCACGAGCCTGGCAGCAATCATAGCTGCACGGCGCATTTATAAACGCGAGGCGCGTTCGTATGTATTTATATATGCGCGGAGCGCCAAGCCGGCAATCGAGGTGCAGGTAACATTGGGCCGAGCAATTAGCGTAATCCGATCGATGGTGCAGTGTAGCAGCAGCGGTGGTGTGGCGGCGTCAGCGGCAACGGCGCGTTGTAGTGCAGCGCCTGCAGTGTATACCGGGGCCGAGCTCTTGATATCGAAGTTCATTCACGCGCTAGCGTGATTATTCGCCTCGTCTCGACTGATTATATTTCTCGAGCTACATGCGCGCGGCACTTTTATGTCATAAGCGCGTTAGCCAGCTTGTCAGCAGCTCACGAGGAGCTATTAAAAATTTCACCTACGAATTATATCTGTGAATGCAGCTAGTTATCTTTCGAATTCTCTGTACGTGTGTGTATAACCCTATAGACGCAACGGCCGCGCTCGATTATTACGGCGCGTACATGTGGCCGTTTAACGATCTTTACGAGTGTGTGTGTATGCTTGCAAGTGCGCGTCTGGCAGCACGTGATTGGCCTGTTTGATTATACTTGCAGCAGCACAGTGTGTAGTTGCCCACAGTGTGAAAGCCCATAGCTGCATTATTATACGTGCCTGCGCAGTTTGTGTGGACGTGCGCGCTGTTGTACTGCACGCAGGCGCAGTCGCAATCACAGAACGACGTTGCGTGGTTATTAATTTCGTCGTCGTCGTCTTTTTATTTTTGTTTCATTTCGGCTCCGCGGTACGGTAATATTTGCAAAACGAACGCGGGTCGATAGAAAATTGACGCGCCGAACTGATTGCGTTAAAAAGAGATGAGCGCCGGCGTATGCATGAGGACGCAAAGCGTACTTTAGCCACTGCGTGTATATTAATCGATCGCAACTATTTTCCGTAATTTGAGAAACGTGACGCGCATATTATAGGCGAGCAATAATATATTTACCTTCCGCCAACCAGCAGGTATTTGCCGTCCCGGAGCATGAGTCGAAAAAAATCCGTGTGCGTCTCGTTGCCGGTGAACCTGAATACATCTTCCGCGCCTGAAAAAACATACAAGCAGAAAATATAAATAAAATTTGAATATAATAGAGCTTTTGTTATACAGCAATTATTATAAAGAAATCCTCCGTGTATAGAGCAGCAGGCTCCACCTAATTAGCTACGTTCCCTTATACTCTCTCGCTCTTCTCGTCTCTGATCTGAAGAGTCAGGAAGCTAGTAACTTCCTCTCTTTTTCTTTCCGCCACTCCTTTTTCTCTTCTCTCGGGTCTTTTTCTTATTTTATACGAGCGGACAGCGGCTCTCTTGGGCTGATAAGAATCCAAGTTCCTTGGTTAGAAGGGCCAAACAAGTGAGAGAGAGAATCAGAGAGAGAATAGAAAGGAACGGAGGAGAAGGAGAGAGAAATGAGATACGACTTAATAACAAGTAACAACTTTTCAGAGAACTGAGATTGGAAAAAGGTTTGATATAAAAAATATATATAAGAGTGGAAACAAGAGAATAAGAGAATGGAAACGATCGGAAAGTTTATTTGTGTATATACGAGCTTTGCTACGCTTGCCATACGTAGCATGTATGAATGGATTCCACGCTGGTCTTTATATGAAGATTAAAGATTGCAATTTCGAGTCCGTTGGGCAGCTTACCTAGCCATAATTTTTTTGAGTCGAGAAACTTTTCGCGAGATATTGAATCGAAATACATTCATATTTGTGAATCTGTTTTAGACACACGTTAAGCAATTTTTTTAAATGCTTTCCAAAACATCTTTTATACTCATTATCATGGTAAAAGCAAGCTTCATCATACATTAATTTATTTAGCTCGGGGCAGTTTTCAAAACGCTAAAAGACCACTTGCCTCTATGTTTGCGTCCCATAAGTATGAAATTCCTGCAAAATTTTGACACTGTACAGTCGAAAAAAAATATTTTCCAGCTTTAGCCACGAGCAGCAGCACAAAAAAGAATAAAGCTGCGGGCATAATCCTTTGACCGTACGCGTATATTCAACGCCTTTAAAAACCCACAAGCGATAACAACCAAAGCGCGCGCGCAGGCACAAGAGAGAGAAAGAGAGAGGCGACAAAAAAATCTCATAATCCAAATCTCTCAGCCCACTGCTTCAATGCTTGCAGGGTACGCAACGGCGCAACAGCAATATATATATATATATATATACCTACGTGTACATTGTAGTGGGGATGAAAAAAAAGAAAAAAGAACGAAAGCTTGTAATAACGCATCATCGTCGTACACATACATCAGGGATGCACAGCTCATAAATATAAGCTTGCACACAGGGCATCGTATCGTAAAACTTCCCTATCTATCTCGCTCGCTTACGTGTAACTGTGGGCACACACAAACACACACACACGCACGGATATGTGCGTGTATGAGCCACATGTATGTCCTACCCGAATGTATTTGAAATGGCAAAAGCCACGAGCAAGCCTCGCGGGCCGCAAAGCGCGAGTGAGCGAGCGTCGGGTTATCGCACGCGCATCACGCACATGCGAAATTAGCATGACCGGACAGTGTATTATACGCGGCTTCTATCCGAGTGCGTGCGGCTAATCGAGAATTTACGATGATTTTCGTACGTTTCAGGGGACTATGAATGATCAAACTTGTTACCGAACGACGTGCACGGACTCGCACTGGAATTGGATATAGCTTGGGACAGTTGTGCGCGGGTTGACCTTTTTGTGCCTATAGGTACACCACGTTGAGCAACCGAAGCGAAACGAGGAACGAAGAGGACGTCAGTGTTCCAAATTCGAGCGAAACTTTTTAAACTGTAAAACAGAGATTTTGCAATTGTGTCTTTGGAATATTTTAGCTTTTTTCCCACTAATATTGATTTTATATAAACTTTACATTTGCCTGCACGAAAATTCTTCTGATGCAGTGCAGCATGCGAAATAAAAAGTACCGGAAGCCTCATCCAGCGTATATCTTTGCACTCGAGACTATATTGACAGGCTTTAAAAAAGGGATAGGTGCCCTGGTTCGAAACGAACCGACCGTAAAAAAAGGAATTGTTTTACAAACATCGACGCTCTACTCACACAGCGCAACGCACGTTTCAGATGCTGCTGCTGCTACTGCTGCTGTTGCACACTTGTTAGTTTTTACCAAATTGTGGCGTACGTCCTGTACAGCGCGTGGTCACTTTTTTTATTTTGTACCGAAGCTACTTGAATATTGTGCCAACATTTCTTTATAACAGGTCGACGCTGTCAACTTCGAAAAACTTTTTACGAGTTGCTAAAGTTTAATTACACTGGCTACCTGGCATCATTTGAGAACACATTGAAAAATAAAAATATTCAAACTTCTCGGATTTTCGCTCTAGTTTGTGTAAGTGTTTATTTCTCCGGATGACATTTTTCATATGACGAAAAGAAAATCCTTTTTCTCTCATTTTTCAACACATAAACGAATACACGACACAGCAGAGCTGTGTGACAAAACTTTCATAGTCCATTCACTGAGTCTCTTACTTAGAAACCCTCACCCAGAATACAGTTGTGACGTCGTCGTCGTCGTTGGGCGTGAAAACTCATCACTTTCAGAACGAAGGTTCATGTCTCTTTTTTTATTCGCCCTCTTTTTTTCATCTGACGCCTGTACAGTTTAGAATGAAGGACGTTTTGTTGTTGGCAGCAGCATATCAGTTTCAAATCAAACGCTTCAGTATGAGGATTTTTTCCTCTTAATTTTTTTATCCACAGAATTTATTCATATATCCATAGGTATACGTTTAAAAATATTGTCCAATGCAAAAAAGGTGGATTTTGTGCGTATCAACTTTTTTATCGAAAGAATACAATTTTATCGATTTTAACCATCAAGTCTAGACGCCATGAGGTAGCCGAGGCATCACACGCTAAGCCCAGCAGCAAAAACAGAGTGCAACTCAGCAGTAACAATTCACAGCAGTTCAATCCAGAAGAATCAAGGTAATTCAAGTCCATCTTTTCACTAATATCTTTTTTTCTACAATAGATTTTTGGGACACGCCACAACGAAGGTAGAATTTGTTTTCTATTAAATTGAACTATGCAACAAAAACAGACCGCTGCTGAAATAAAAATAATAAGTAATTGAAGCTTTTTCGTATATTGTTGGAATAGAGCTCGGCGAATAAAAATTCGATCCCTCATAACTTTGAAATAAAAAATCCTCGCTCTAATATACTTGCGTGCTCGCTACATAATCAAATTCAAAAGTTTTTTGCGAAAAAGAGGAAAAAAAAATGTGCACGTTTTACAGCTGCCCACGAGCGAAACACAATATATGCGACGGCGGTACGTGTACGTATCGACTTTCATACTCTTCTCCTCCGTTGGCGCTTATTTTTTTCAAGAAACATTTCGACCAAATACATATCGCGTGTATGTAAGCAGCTGCATGCGCGCATACACCCACACACACAGGCCTCCACCGAACATAAAAAGGAAGAATCGAGCCGGGCGCTACTGCTGCTGCTGCGGCTGCTACTACTACTTGAGAAAGTTTTTCCTCTTTTCAGCAGCAAAATCAGCTTTATTGCGATCGTTAAGGTAAAAACAATTTGGACTCCAAAGAGTATATACGCGAGCAAAATTACATTTTACGGATCTATATATATATTTCTTTTTTTTTTTTTTTTAGAGAGCCTCGAAGAAACGGTGTCAATGATGAGTTCGTTATCCTACTGGTCGGAAATACGGAATTCTCGAGTGCAGAAGCGGCGAGTCAATTTTTACGAGTCGAGCTGCTGTAGCATTTATTAGTTCGAAAATTGGACGTTGTATAACATAGAGCCGATCGCTCTAGTTTACGAATCACGCTCTACTCCGCAGTGCTACATGCTTTATGCAAGTATTCAGCCGCTGATGAATCCTTTATGCCCACAAATTGATGGTATATGAAACATAAGTCCGCTGCTGCACGGTCACCCACGCAGAGCTGATATCCGCGCAGAAAAACTTTATAAAACCGCAACTTATACATAGACTTTTTTCGCGCTGTAAAAAGAAAAAGCCTCGGGGCTCGACTGAGCACGACGATATACCTACGTCTATATATAAATCCTTCTTCGAACGTTTCGTTTTCAATGTATATTGCAAAGAGATGGAATGTGCTACGAGCGCCCACAGTCACAGTACTTACTTTCTTCTTTCTTTATACATACTTTACAATCTGCTGGGTGCTTCTCCTCTATCTCTCTGTCGCTCTTCCTCTATATATAGGGTCATCGTCTTTGCAGCGCAGCGTTGGCGGCAGCAGCGGCGGCAGCAACGAAGTCGCCTCTATCGATCGTATTACACATACGCGCGCCAAAGGGAGACTAACTCTACCGTACATATATATATATATATATATATATATATACCAACGGCAGGAGAAAAAAACGAAGAAGACAAGGAGATAAAGATACGCACGAGGTGACGCAGCTCAGCGAAGACGAAGAGACAATGATGGGGAAGAGAAGAAACGGAAGGATGCAGTGTACGGGAATATATATTCGCGCGAATACATATATACTCACGTGCACACACATAGAGTAGCAAAAGAGTTGGCAAGTACAAATTCTATTTTTAAGTGACTTTAAATTTCAGCACTCGCACAATGGAAATTGCAATGCATGTATGTAATTATGCCCGTTAAAACTCTGATGCGGCTCAACTTATTTAATTTGTAATGTTATATTTATCGTGAGGAGCAGCAGAAGCATCGGACCGAGAAGTCGAAAAAGCTTCTGTATGTAGCTGCGCGACTGCAGCACACGTCTGTCCGTGTGCATTAAAAGGTTAAAACTGTAGCTAATAAAAAATTTAGCTGTTTCAACGAAAGTCTCCAAACTTAGCGAGAAGAGCACGAGGATATACGCCCACAATCCCAATGCCTATACTTTCCCCTCATTCGACTCTATTCTCTACGTGTATTTCTACGTATATGTGTCGTCTGGCAATTCTAGTTGGCAAACTTCCCTCTATATCAGTTGTTTTTTTTTGTTTTGGTTTTCACTTTTTTTTGACGAGATGA